GCACGCACGCGCACACACACACACAGACTCATGCACACACACACACACACACACACGCACGCACGCACGCACACACACACACACAGACTCATGCACACACACACACACACAGATTCATACACACACACACACACACACACACACACACACACACACACACCCTGCCCAGGATGAGTGTGGGAGGTCCTATTATCAGGGTATTGACAGGCATTAAGCCTAATCCATGGTAGATCTAACTTAATCGGTACATCCATACTTTATGTAGATTCATTCTAATAAATTTTTGTCTCAAGGATCATTACAAAAAATTCTTTTAAAAATGTGCAATAAAATGCAGTATGGATTGAAAATTTCAATGCTCTATAAGAAACCTTATTACACAGTAAGACAGGAATTTGAACCTAAAGAACTCTACAATTCACATGAAGATATTTTTAAAAAAATCCTAAAAGGGCAGGCAGAAAACTCAGATCCTGGCCTGGCTAGTATTAAGCTAGAAAGTAGAATACTTACTCAGTAAAGCCAATATAAAGATCTTTTCAAACAACAGGGTTCTAAAGTCTAAGAATCATTTTAAAAATCCTGCCACAACCCCCTAAAAAAATTCTCAACTATAAAAAATAAGGCAAATTGAAGTTAGACATTTGCAGATGACGCGAATTCTGGGCCCCGAGTCTAGGCAAGGCTGGCCCAGGGCCTTCTCACAGGCCACACAGCGAAGAGCCTGACATCGTCTCTCGGAAACAAAGACCCACTAAATAGTAGACCGATTAAGATCATCACCAGCTTCATGCTGTCAAACCCACTGCCTGGGAGGAACATCATGCAGACAGCTTCTGTGAAGAGCTCCGATTGAGCCACATGCTTTCCATTCCTGGAGGTGGAGGGGGTGGCAGAGAGCATGATTTCTGCTGGAAGTTCTTTTGTTTTCTGCTACCTTTACTTAAATGTTACCAGGTACTATTTTTAATATCCTAAAAAGTGCTGTGAAAAAATGTTAAGTGAATAGTGACACACCACACACACACACACACACACACACACACACACACACACACACACACATTCATGGCAAGTGCTTATATCCTCTGTAAGATGTGGAGTGAGTAAATAATACTTGACTCTTAAGAGGGTGAAGATAATATATTGAAAAATTATCGAGTATCTGATAGACCCCCTCAGCCTTCAAAAATTCTGAGTTCAAAAATAAATTTGATCCTAGCTGACAAGTGTTCATTAAAGGCAGATTTCAGTTAAAATCAAAGTGAATGGTTAATGATGCCTAAATCGATGCCTTTAAACTGGCTAGTTTAAGGCCAACAGGGTGTAAATTGAGTCAGAATCTTTCTACATATTTTTCATAGGTCAAACTGCTTGAAATATATCCTAACATAATTAAATATTTTATGGTAGACTTCCAAGCCATCTCTCTGATTCCTGCTTATTTTTATAACAACAGAATAGTTTGGATCACCCTAAATTTGTCTATAATTTGGCCATATAGCAGATATATCAGATTGCAACCCACTGATAAATTTCTGTATTCTATTTCCAGATGGAAATTCTCTTTATTTAAGTCCCTAGAAAAGCCACAGAAACCAATGAAGAATGGAGAATATATTTTCTTATAAAAACAATCAATCTTAATGCATTCTAACCAAAGGTATATTTATCAAACACCAGTATAGGAACACACACACACACACACACACACACACACACACACACACACACAATCCAAAACTTGAAACTTGGGGCTACTTTCTTACCCCCCAAAATTACACATTTACTTTGTGTTCATTTTTCAAAATCCCCAAGTCCAAAATACCCTTGATAATTGCTAAATGCTGTGTATTTTATAGCTCTTTCTCATTCATAAGATATTATTAGAAACTTTAATGTAAGTATATTGGCTTGGAGCCATTCTTAAAGTAAATAGATACAGGATTATTTAAAATACTGCAAAGTGCATCAGCCTTAATCAGGCATTTAAAACTGTTCATTTTAAACATATTTGCTGGTAGCTATACAAGTCTATTAGCACCATACACTGTGGGTTAAAGTATTCTCTCAAAGATGATTTAGCAGTGATTTTTGGTTTTATGTCTAAAAAGGTAGGTACACAATTAAAAGAAATGTATTGGGGGGTGTTTTTATCTTGTTAAATTGAATGATGCTCCCATCACCCATTGAAAACATGAAGACAGGCAAGCCTGAAGAAAATATTTTCACATTCCAGCCAAGAATCTTGCTAAACATCCACCATTTAGTTCAATTCCAAAGCCACGTTAGTTACTTCTGTAAGAGATCACAATACGTATTTACAAAATGAAAGCATAGGGAAAAGCAATGTGTACATATGCAGTCCATAATCACTGTAAATGCAGAGCGGATGAACATCATTGGTACTCGTCCTCCAGAGGGCGCTCCTCAACAGCCGTCGTACCCGCTGTCCAGCCTCAGCAGTAACAAGTAGTAGTAACATCATCACTTGGTTAAATAGCGGGGTGGGAGTACTGTACAATAGGAACCCTGACCCGTGGAACTGGGAACTGTGTTACAGTACCATGGCTAGACACAACGAAAAAAACACCGGTGTTGAAAATCTATGCATCAGCATGAATTTTGATTTTTTTTTTTATTCAGTTGTATACATAGTTCATGTTTGGCCAAGAAGAAGTATTTTCACAAGAATATTATGGTTTTCCAGCTAAGGGAATTCTCTGTTATCTGGGAAGTTTGCCTTCTGGATGAAAACTACTATTCCCTTTATTTGTTTCTCGCGTCCCAGCAGATAGGGCCACACGGAGATGGGTCTATACAGGTCTGCTGGGCGGAAGGAAGACAGGGAGGGAAGAAAACGCACTCCCGTTTCCACGCTTACACCCTTGACAACTACCTGGCTGGCCGAAGGAACCTGTGAATGGCTTTTGTAAGGAACTTGTGCGGGGCTAGAAACCCACTCACCTGATTCACCATTAGAAACAACAGGAAAATATACTGTAAGAGAAAAGCGTTCGCCTAGACACAGGGTTGAACCATCAGAAAAAGCCCAGACTTCGTGCATTAGGGAACAGCAAGGAACATACAGCATGCCGTGTGCTCAGTAAACGGTCTTCCCCAGAGCACTGAGCTCGTCGCCTGTCATCTCTGCACCTTCCTGTACGTCACGGCACCCTGGGATGTGTGCTGACTCCCTCCAGTCCAGAAGTGACTGTTGCAACGAGTTCCGTAAACTTCATTTATTCTTTGGCACTTCCGGGCTGGAACTGTACCTTTAAATTCCACAGACAATAAGCCTCTAATTGATTACTGAGAAAGAAGTGCCACAGATGTATAAAATAATTCATCTTTAAGTTTTGGTTGTTTTTTTTTTTTTTTTCCTTTCCCACAATCTGGAAATGGAGTCACTGTAACAGAGTATTTATTTTATTATCCTCGGAAACCATTTCATTAACCAGCTGCTCTACAGACAACTGGATAGCATTCTTGACGAGAGAAGAGGCTGTTTCTATTAAGAGTGTTTCATATTGTTCTGAAGTTCTCCCTTCGAAATCACTATCATTAGCAAAAACCCCTACTTGCTCATTTTCCATTGAAATTAGGAATTGCTTAGGGACATTTTTAGATTTCTTAGCATCAAATTCACTGATTTCAGTGTCTGTAATGATAATAGCAATTGGCTCCATTCTTTTGCTTTCTTCTGATCTGGGTTTCTCTGTATCAATTCCATTTTCTTTCAGATCTGGTGCCTGGGCCACTGTGATTTCCTCTTCCCGGGCCACTGCAGCTTCCTCTTCTTGGGCCACTGCGATTTCCTCTTCCCGGGCCACTGCGGCTTCCTCTTCCTGGGACACTGCGGCTTCCTCTTCCTGGG